CAACAGTTTTCTGTGCGATACCAGTCCGGTGTTATCCCTACAACTAACATGTTGAAAAATTCTTCTCCCATTTACAGTTTGTGGGCTCTAATGATATGTAATTACTCTGTTTTTGTGAAATCCCACATTTATATTGAAATTTCACATAATACACACAGCAAGCAGCAGGAGTAAAACCATAAAAGAAGTAAAAAAAAAAAAAAAATTACGTAAGATACATATGCTATCGATTCAAAGGAATACTATGCAAGCACACAGCAGTCACCCTAGCCTGAACACAGATACTAAATGCATAATGTTGGCTTCTAATAAGAGCTATAATACAGCCCTTGTTTCATTTTTTTACCATAAACTGTTGAAAACCCTATGAAGACTCTGAAGAAGCTGTTGAACCTGGAATGTACAAAGCAATAGAAGGATATTGTGCAATCAGGTGGACAACGTTTCCATCATAAATGTGTTAAAGTTTTTTTTTAACTTACCATGTAGAATACATGCTATATTTTTGTTTCTTGTTGTGAAAGATGTTTCCAATGTGTAAAATAGGATACTTCAAGTAAATTAATTTAATCATTGTAGTGAGGTTTATAAACCAAAACACAGAGTTAATTTAGTAAATGCTAGCAATCATTGTTTTCTTTTTTTCATCAAACTGTTTTTTATTGTTTTTTTATTTTCTTTTTTTACATGCAAGGATTCAAAGTCCTTAGATCTCAACACTACACTGAACCATTGCATGTTGTCACTATTTACCGCCACTGTTATATCTTCCCTAGTAGGTAGTATGTTTTATTTTTATTTTTATATTTGGGTATGGTGTAAGTACTCATTGCAAATGTTTCATTGATGGCCAGAAGGAATTTGAAAGGAAACCATATTACAATAGTTAAATCAACAGCACACGGTTACCCTTTAACAAAGTGAACCTCGATGTACTCACATTTCTGTTTTTCAAGATCATAAATTAGTACAGCCTACTCTGCACTAACATAACTAAATAAATCACATATATTTAATGACAAATATATAAAAGCTACATATTGTACATGTTGTGGACCATTTTAATGCATGCATTATATAGCCCAGTACTGTACAGAATTGTTATAGTATTCTTTATAAATGGTGTCACCTTCATTTTACTTACATCATCAAGGTTGGACTGTGTAATGCTTTCCAGATTGCAGTGATTCATAAAAAGCTGTTGCTCTTGCCTAGTGACAGCACCCAATTAATGCTAGTAAAACACATTTGGGTTTCATATCCTGAAAGTCTTAGTATGTTCTGTAATACAGCACCAAATATTCTTTTTCAACAGAAGCCCACTCAAGCATCTGTGCACCATCATGTCTGAAAGGACGACTGCATTGTTCTTGATGAGCAGAATGTCTGACACAGATTCTTCACAGAATAGAGGGATTTTTGTTTATATATATATAAAAGATTGACAAAAGAATCATTGTGATATGTCACAATATAGAAGTATTAACTTTACTTTGATATCCTGTTCGTTTGGCCTAGTAAGCACTTTACTAAGTCTGGAAGGACTGGTCATCGGACCATGAAAAGCCTAGTTCCTATTACCCTCGGCGTTGCCTGTTGCAGCACTTTATTTGTTATCCTACTAGGTAAAGATCATAAAAATTGTAATTAAACAACAGCTTCAAGGCAACGGTGTGGGTAGTCCACTTGTTTATTATGTGGTCCTCGATTCCGTTAATGGCACATAGTTAAATAATAGAAATAACCAATGTGCCTCTAGATTTAAGGAAGTAATGTAACTCTTTTGCTTATTAATAAAGTTCTGCCAAAGTACAATTCTATTCTTTTTATGCTTTTTAAGAAATATTGATAATCCTTGTGGTTTGTCGGACATTACATTAAAATGTAGGCCTTAAAAGAGAACAAGTTGGAATGTATATCCAGTTTGTTTTTTAGCTTGAAATGTGCCATTCCCATGCTAGGTCTCCACAATCGATTTAGTGAATAAGCCACTTTGTTTCCCATGGACTAAATGCTTTTGTTGTTACATTGGTTACTTATAGATCGCTATACACACCCACACATAAGAAAAAAGTGTTGTGCTGAAACGTATACTTTTTTTTTTTTTTAGGTTTTACTATTAGGTGGAGGGGGTAGACAGGGACTTTATTTTAGGGGATGGCTAGGGGATTGGGGATTCTTTAGCCACATAGGGGGGTTGCTATTATTTTGGGTGGGTGGACAATGCACAAGTTATAATTTTGGTGTTTTCTGAAATGGATCCTAAACAAATGTGGTAGTTTGGGAGTCTGAAACATATAAGGGAAGCCCTAAACCCTATTCTAACCATTTTGCTTGGGTTCCTTTATGCTCTTTGGATGAGTCCGTTCACAAAACTTAACAGGGAGGGAGAAAGTCAACAACCCTGACTCCTTAGAAGGACTTGGGAGAGCTACTAGTGCAGGGGTCTCACTGACCTCTTCTTACTATTGGTGCACTGCACTATATACTCATCCACCGATTCTCTTCACCCCAATCCCCCCCCCCGTGGGACCGGTGGGGGATATCCCGGTCCCCGTTGGGAGTCCGGAGTAAACTACCTTTGCCGAGCCCGGACCCACAGTGAGATTCACACATCACCAGCACTACCACACGAGGAGCACGCAAGATGGCGGCAACATACTCCCGGGCTAAGTAGAGCCAGCTTTCCAGCCACACAACATTCCACAACGAAGCAGCTGATATCGAGCAGCAGCTAAATAGACTGTTTATAGACTTTTGGGAGAAAATCCAAAACCGCAGACTGGCAGCACAGACAGCTGGAAACGGGTGAGGGGGGACTTGGACAGCGGGGAGAGAGGGCGTCACCCTCGGGCACTGCACTAGTCCACTCAGTAATACACACATGTCCAAGCCCACCCAGGCTGAAGGCCAAAAGGGTCCTGTCCCGGCAGCATCGCCAACACAGGCAGAGGCCCAAATGCCGCATGCGACAGCCCACCATCAGGAAGCAGTAGAGTTTGTGGACAAAAGATGCAGGCCTACACATCAGCCTGAGGCTGGAGGGATACCTACACCCGCACCACAGTGGCGCCGAGAACCCACGACCCACCAGAGGGATACAGACGCTGGCTGAGAGCGGGAATTGGGTGAGAGGGCCAACCATACACCAACGCTCCCATGCCGTGAGCACCCCCACCAGTGTGTTCCTGTACATGACTTCCTACCAAGACGCTATATCTTGCCCGGACTGATGCATATGGGACCCAGCACACTTCTCTTCTGATTTGGGACTCGGACACCAGTGTCCTATCATTCGTTACCTTAAATATGTCTATGTTGATGTGTTCTTTTTGATCAGTGACTATACAACTGATGCACAGTTCCTTATATGACCCACCACACTTAGGTCACACTACACCCCAGCTCACATCTCATAATGGGTCTAAGCTTCGTATACATATAACAGAGCTGGAGAAGCTGTCATCTGTACAGAACAACACGGTAGTTAAGCGGTAACCTGTTATAAAAATACTCCTGACACCCCATGCTTCATTACTTTGAACATACCCCGACTCGACTAACAAATAGTGCTGTTGACTATTGCCAAGTAAATGCTTAATTAATATGTATTATTTTATTAGCCAGTACAAACTAGTGAGGCAACCCAAGCCTGTCTAAAACTTACAGAGTAACTGTTGGTTTATCTGCATGTAAACTCACTACACAGCATAAACCTATCTATGTGCACCGTCTTACGTTCAGGTGAGAATGGAAGCCTGTGATATGCCTGTTCGTATCACCGAATATTATGTGTGAAAAGTATGCTCCAAACATGACAACCTTCAACTTAAATATAAAATTGAGCACTGTTATCATATGCCCCACTGTTACAATTGTTATGGAATAAGCAAGTGGCATGCCGTTGGGGTACCACATGCAGGGCCGGATTAACATAGGGGCTGATGGAGCTGCAGCTCCAGGCCCAGGTCCATGGAATAGGCCCATTTAAAAAAAAAAAAATTTACTTTTTTTTTATTTATTTTTTTTACACACACTACTCTTAGGTTTGCCACCTGACTGGTATTTTAATGGCACAGACGGTATTTGAGGCTGCCTGGCCGTGCCGGCAATACAAATGCAGGTAATTTTCTCAGAATAATTGGAAATTACTCTGCAATACCAGCACCGGCCAGTAGGGGTCACTGTGTGTGGAGAGAGGCAGGGATAGGAAGTAACAGCATATCCCTCCCTGCCTCTCTCTACTCATTGATCCGTAGGGGAGCAGCTACACAGCACAGAGAGTCCAGACAGCAGCTCTACAGCTCAGTAAGTGAGGGATGGGGTGGAAGGCAGCAGGGACACATGGGAATACTGAGACACTAGGGGACATATGGGGACACAGACACTAGGGGGCATATGGGGACACAGACACTAGGGGACACATGATGACACATACACTAGGGGACACTGAGACACTAGGACACAGACACTGGGAGGCCTGGGAACACAGACACTTGGGGACACTGGAAAACATGGGGACACTGAGACACTAGGGGACAGACACATGGGGACACATACACTAGGGGACACATGGGGAAACTGTCACTAGGGGACACTGAGACACTTGGGGACACAGACACTAGGGGACACATGGGGATGCTGAGACACATGGGGACGCTGTGAGACATTGGGACACGGAGACACTATGTCCCTCAGCTAGTGTCTCCCAGTGTCTGTGTCCCATGCCTCTCAGTGTGCCTAGTGTCCCCATGTGTCCCAGTGTCCTCATGTCTATGTCCACAACTGTCACGATGTCTCCCCAAGTGTCTGTCTCCCAGTGTCCCCTAGTCTCCCAGTGTCTGTGTCCCTAGTGTCTTAGTGTCCCCAAATGTTTCAGTGTCTCCATGTCTCCCAGTGTCTGTGTTCCTAGTGTCTCAGTGTGCCTGGTGTCCCCATGTCTCCCAGAGTCCCTATATGTCACAGTGTCCATATGTCTATGTCCACAACTGTCCCCATGTCTCCCAGTGTCCCCAAGTGTCTGTCTCCCAGCCAGTGTCCCATAGTCTCCCAGTGTCCCCTAGTCTCCCAGTGTCTGTGTTCCCATGTCTGTGTCCCTAGTGTCTTAGTGTCCCCAAATGTTTCAGTGTCCCCATGTCTCCCAGTGTCTGTGTCCCTAGTGTCTCAGTGTCCCCATTTCTTCCAGTGTCCCCATGTCTCCCAGTGTCCCCGGGTCTCTCAGTGTCCCCAGCATCCTAATGACATGGGGACACACTGAGACATTGGGACACTGGAAGAAATGGGGACACAGACACTGGGAGAGTAGGGGACTGGGCAACATGGGGACACTGACACTGTGATACATAGGGACACTGAGACACTGGGTGACTTGTGAGACTGAGACACTGGGAGACAGGGAGACACTGGGAGCAATCCATCTATACAGCAGAATCAAACTGTGAGTAGTTTGTTGGTGATTTTACAGAATTTTCTCTGATGTCACTCCTTGTGATTTACACGCAATAACTAATTAATTATACAAATGATTAAGGCTGGTATTTTTTTCCAAGAAAGGTGGCAACCTTAACTACTCTTCACATACTCTTGCTTAAAGGAGCACTATAGGGTCAGGAACACAATCATGTTTTTCTGACCCTATTATGTTAAAACCACCACCCTTGCCCCTTCTTGCCTCCCTAAATATAGTAAAATATTACTTGTATTCAATTCTGTAGCTGCTGGCTCAGAAGCGGTGGTCTGAGCAAATTACAATACTTCCCCATAGGATTAGCTGAGACTGTCAACTAGTCAGATCAGGGGCAAAGCCAGCACAAGTCCAACATAGCCCTGGCCAATCAGCATCTCCTCATAATGTTAAATTGAATCAATGCATCTCTATGAGGAAAGTTCAGTGTCTGCATGCAGAGGGTGGAGACACTGAATGGCAGTGCTGCACACTAGGCAGTACTGCCCCAGGAAGCACCTCTAGCAGCCATCTAAGGAGCGGCCAGTGGAGTTATTTTCTCTGAAAAGACAGTGTTTACTGCAAATACCTGAATGGAATAATTCTACTTACCAGAACAAATAAAATAAGCTGTAGTTGTTCTGGGGAATATAGTGTTCCTTTAAGTTTGGAAGCTTAAGAGGGATGTATGGGAACAAAACTTGTGTGCACTGGCTAGTTTAGGTAATGCAGACGTTGGTCTCTCTAACACTGTGGCATGTCCCCTTTCTTCTACACTCACTACAGACAACTTTTCTCTGTCTCAGACTATATACCAGGAACTTCTGACTGCTAGTAAGAAGGTAAGGAGACAAGTGGACCAGCGAGTGCTAGGGGACAGTCCTTAGAAAGAATGGAGTGAGCGCATCATTAGATGCATTTATGTCAAGCTCAAGGTGCTGCCTGCATAGTATGCCCTTAGTTGGACAGCCTGCAGGATTGGCAGGCAGCCTGACATGCATTCATGCCAGGCTGACCTTCCAATTCTTTGGACAAACATGCCCCCTTTTGGGTATGTTCACCCCTTTTGGCAGATCTTGTCACGTGATTTGCGCCAGTGGCACACCCTTTTACCCCGCCCATTGACTTCCTGCTTCACTGGACACTGCTGTTAGGGGTTATGGATTTACTTGAAAGATGAAAGCATAAATTAGAGAGAGATTAGCATAGAGTATGTGTTTTCTTATAGCTGCATCCTATGAGTTTCCCTCCAGCACCATCTCCATCAGATACACGACGCTTGGGAGGTATGATTGTTTTAGTGTTTTTGGTCGATAAGATTCTGTAATTAGGCCCATCATAATTGTCAGCACCAGGCCCACTGGGCTCTTAATCCGGCCCTGACCACATGCATGTTTGTTAAACCCATATGCACTGCAATAATAAAAAAAATGGGCTGCTGGATCCCCAATTCCATGTCTCATTAAAATGCTACCAACTCCACTTCTTAGAGAATCAGAGGGACGTGACTCTGTCAGTAATCAAAGCCCTGCATTGCAGGACTAGAAAGATGCCTAATCTTTGTCAGATATTTAGTGCCAACATCCCCCCTAGTTTTTAAATGCCATGGTGATGCAAATAAACCTTTAAATAATACAACAGACTGGAGAAAAAGACAGAGAGGAACAGTAGCCGTTACTGGCCAGAGTCAGTGTGTGAAATTATAAAATTAGCCGTTAAATACCACTCTGATTAACTGGGTTGTTCCTGATAACGGCTGCCAGCGTGCCTTTTTTTATTATCCCATTGCCCGTGCTGTTTGGCTGCACATGCAAATTCAAGGCTGATACTTCACATCATTATCAAGCAGTCTAAGGCAACGTGTCATAGAATTCTGTTAAAGGTACACTAACACGAAAAAGGAACTGTAATTCCTCTGAAAATAAAACCATTGAATAAAACACTAAATCACCTGTAACTTGTGTTGTTAACCCTTTTTCATAAAATGTTCCAAGTTATAGAAAAGATTTAGCAAATGACATCATAATCCAGTTCAGACTAGGCAAAGGCAGGGCTAAAATGGCAGATATGTAGATGTAGAAAGGTTCTTTTATTTCCAATCTCTCTGTACGCCTTAATTGTGATGACTGCCTGCTTCAATGGAAAGAGCTTATAACAATGAGTGAGATCAGAGATAGACACACCAGGCACATACACAAATACCCAATGCCCGACCTAAACACACAGATTGTGTGTGTGCATCTGTCAATCTGTGCCTCAGTGTGTCATTATGTTCTCCTGCGCATCCACTTTCTGCATATTTCCATCCATCTCTTATACTATTGCCGTAATAGTGAACACTTTTCCAAGAAAACCACAATCTCTCGATGTTGCTGACCCACACTTTTCATTGGGCTTGTAATGGTATTAGAACATCTGGCACATTCCTCTGTTAGTCTATGCTCAAGTGTGAGATGCACACAGTAGAGGAATAAGCACAGCAACTACATTTCATATGCTCTAGTTGCTGTGTTTTAGAGGATTGGGGCTGGTTTCAAGCACCCATCTTTAACCTGCTTTCATTGAAATGCCAGGCATTTGGAGATAGACAACCGATTGTTATTTTTTCGTGCTTGCGTTTCTCCCTGGAACATTTGCAGAACTTTACCATATATTTAACTTTTTCATTATAACAGTAGTCTGTAAAGAGTATACATGACAAGGTTAGGTTTGTGTTAGGTTTTTGTTAACAATTTGTGTGAAAAGAGAGTAGCAGGTTCCGAGGTCTCTGCATTTTTTTTTTTTTTTAAATGCCAGGATCAATTGTTTTAAATAAACGATACATATATTAAAACTATCAAAACCATTCACCATTTCTGTTTTGCATCAATGTGCATTCCTGCTACAAAATACCGGTGTGTTCATTGGTATGTGTATTGATGAATACTAATAAGTAATAAAATGATCCTCGAGATTATTATTACATCAGGTAGCCTGTGATATTGAAGAAGACAGGTCTAAGGTCTTTGTTGAAAGATGGCTATAGTCAAGCAATGCATATTAAACATATCCACATCAGAAGACTTCATGCAGTCAGAGCTCTTTTTGGTATTAAGTCATAACCATGCTTGAAGAATTAGTTTGCTAGAGGTCATACACTGCAATTCAGGATGGCATTAAAATATCGCCACAAAATATTACTGTCTATTAGAGTTCCTCCACGTAAAATGAATTCAGTATTATTTCTGTTTCCCGCTATGTGTTTTATTGCCTGTTTTTATCGGGACATTAATTTCGGCAATCCCAAGTATGTAATGACAGACAATATGCCACCCAGCCCCCTCCCACCAGTTTGACAGACTGTGTTTGTGACCTTCTTTATACAGATCTGTAAACTCGGTTTATTTCTTGATATCGTTGCCTAACTAAGGATTACCTACAATATGGGGCACCAAACAAAAAATATGTTTGTAAAGAGACACATGCAACTACCAGGGGAGCTCCTGGACGAGGCGCATGAAGAATTGCAGAGTCAGTACACCATAATACAATTCTGTTTCCATACGGTAATCAAGAGATTTAATGCTAAACACAGAGCATTTGTGTGTGGCTAATGTATCAAGTAATAAAGACATTCTAATTTCCCCCACTCCTTCTCTTCCATCCTTCCTGTTTTGCAGTATCGTTAATCTCTGGTTTTGTGTACTTTTATATTCAATGTATATCATTGCAAGTCCATTTCCCCCGCTCTTCCCGTCTTAGTTTTAGAATATTTCATATCATGTCATAATAACACTTGCCACAATTCATCCCTTGATCTCATATTTAATTCTATATTTGCCATTTTATCATCTCATGTGTCGAGAAATTCCATATTCAATCTAATATACCAGGATAAATGTCATCCTATCATCCCATCTGCCATGATATTCACTATATCGTCCCACTAGCCTATATGCAGTTTGTACACATTTGATCACTCCATTTTATGTCATATAATTTCTTATTTCATCCCATAATCCCTTATGTTACATCATTCAATATTTTATTCCATGATCCATTCTGCCATGTTATTTCTTATATTGGCCTACAAGTTCATATACAAAACTCCCAAAGTTTAAATTCTAACACTAGTGCCCTTTATCGGTGATATGTAATCTCAGTGACTACGGTTCCATGATACTCAGCCAACAGACCATAATCTATAAATCCCAATTACAAACATCACAGTATATACCTTTATAGCAATCCACAATCAGCCAAATACCCATTTTATTTCTGGAAAACATATTTGTAGCAAGCCATAAGTAAACATTCAACTTAATATCAGACCACTAAAAATAATGTACCCAACAAAAGTCAGGTAAAATGTGAGAAATTACTAATAATAAATAAAATGAAATAAAGATATCAATATCTCATTATGTCTCCATGTGGCTTATTAAGGACAGTTTGGTTTTTCTTAACTGTCCATATTACTATAGATTTTTTTTTTTTAAATTGAATTAACGGATTCTTGGATAATCTGTACATCGTATATTTTAGTGGGTTATATTAGGATACAGTATTTTCCTTACTTCTTGCAATTTCGAGGCACAGACACATTTTGGTAATTATTCCCACCTGATTTTGTATGGATTGATAGAGATTTTGCCAAGTGAAACCTGATGAGGTATGTCACCTTAATCCGATGATAGCTCTTTTAACATTGATACAGAGCTCTCATTTTTTTATCTTCATTGAATTAATTTGCTCCCATGCTCCCTGGTAGCATAATTAGTTGTTACTCACAATATAGAAGTCTTAAAGGGTGAGCTAAAATAATAAAATAAAATAAAAAAGATTTCACCCTGTCAACAGTAAGGAATCTGTCAAATAAGTATGTCACATTCCATCAACTTTATATACAGGATAAAGAAGGTGGGTGCAGATGTCACTCCGTTTGATGGCCCTGGTAAAAGTTATTAATCCAAACACTCTCAGTAATCTGCTTTTACATTATAATTCTCATAAAAGGCAAGAGCCACTGTATAACTCAACAGAAATGTGGCATTTATAATGCATCCTTTGATAGTCTAGTAATTGCACGCATCTACGCATGACATAAATCCTGCAGTAGAGTGACTTTTTAGTTGCCAGGGAATTTCAACATACAAGTCTTCCTTTAATTGCAATATTTAAAAATGTCTTCTTAGGGGAATGAATACAGAAGTGTGTTAGCACAGTTAACACAATATGCATATGTGGAAGATGCAAAAAAAGAAAAGGTGGCAGAAGGCAATTTAAAGACATACATATGGATATAATGAGGTCTCCCAGCTGCAGAATTACATCAACACTTTGTAGCATAGTTAACTAAGCAGAAAATCACATTTCTACCAATGGAATTAATTTTCTTTGCATAATCTGGTAGTTGTTTGCATCGGGGAAAGTACAATTTAACACGGAAGTATGATAATTATCATTGTAGGGAGAGTCGTGCCAGGAATCTATTTTGCACTCCACCTAAATTCAGCCAATGTTACCTTCCGTTCCTACCTGTTATGATGTTACGTTGGATGTTCCAGATTCCATCTTCTCTCGTTTTGAGGTGACAAGGCTAAGATTTGAGAATCAAATCCTATGAGTAAATGTAGAAATGGGAACAACCAGAACCCCTTGGTAGTAGCTACTTGAAAATATGTTTGATGCCTGTATGCTATAAAATGGAAAATTTAACATGAAAAAGTCATTATATAGGTCTGACCCCCGAAATATCTGCCTGTCTCTTTTTTTTTTTTTTGTTATTTCAACTATATACTACTTATCTTAGAAGGAACCTTGACTTGACTTACACCATTATTGTATATTAATCTTGTTACATAATTTCATCCCGCAATGTAGAATTTCCCATCTTAATCTGATGTTGTCCATGACTTTCTAAATGTTTATAGACATAGAAATGTTTGCACCTAGAATTCTGTGTATTTCATTCCTGTTACCAAACATTCTGGTTTGCATGCTGATTGTAGAGCTGGGGTGGGCAACCTTCGGCACTGCAGATCTTGTGCACTACGACTCCCCTGATACTTTGCCAGCATTATGTCTGTAAGAGCATTATGTGAGATGTATTCCAGAACATCTGGAGTGCCAAAGGTTGCCCACCCTTGTTGTAGCGCATCACTAAAATATGTCAATGATCATAAAATAATAAATAATACCTGCTGTACTACAGGTAACTAGATTCCCAAGTCACTGTAAAATACTCAGATGGAGGTAATTACATTTTAGTAGATGTTTTACTCGAGAAATGTGATTGGATGATACAGTTAACCAAATCCTACTTATGTCCTGATTATGGGAAAGGTGTATAATTTTGTGTCTTGGGGTGTTTATATTTGAAGGCAAGCAAATACATATTAATTAAAACATTTCAGTAAGCGCACAAAATAGGAACTTTTAAATAGCTTCATTTATTGCATTTATTTGTTTAGACAAGCAGCACATGAATACACGTTGTACAGGTTCCAGCCAGCCAGTCATAATGGATGAAGGATATGACATACGTCTGCATTCCGGAATCATTTTAAATATTTTGCTTTCTTAGGCCCCATACGCGTTTCACCACAAAACTCCTTTCTGTTGGCCAGCAAAATATTGATATCCATTCTAACACAGTGAATATATTATTACCGGTTTCAAAATCTTTGTATTGTGAGAAATGGATAAAGCATGTATAAGTCTTGATAGAATATGGCTTTTTATTATATATAGTCCATAATACATGTTCATACATGTTAATCTTTACATACAGCGGATTTGCGAAACGCGCCGTCTGAAACCATATGACAGACATTGCTGGCAAGCATAGATTAAAGTCTTTCTGTAAAAAATAAATTAGTTATATTTTATAAAGCATTTCAAGCTATGCAAACATCAGATCAATATCATTATATTACAAGGTACAATATTTTGCCAAACATTGTAAAATAACTTTTTTTTTTATATATATATATAGTAACTTTCTTCAACAAACTAAGCTAACCCGTTTTTAATTTTCTCCCTTTTGATCCTATGTATGGAGTACAGTAACACACAGGCATTGCTATTTAAAGAACCATGCAACATTTCAGATGGTGAGCTTTGTAGCAGCTATAAGTTGCAATATGTTATAATATTAAAAGGTGTATTTTATACATTTTAAATAAGAATTCTCAAGATATATGTGATCTTTATTGACATATAAAAGAGCATTGAAGACATCTCACTGAGAACCATCTCATAAGTTTCATGTTATGATCCAACAGCGATTTGAGGTTATTTTAAAGGGCAGGAAATGCAACAGGAGGAAACATATCAATGTCTCATAAGGCCATCAAAATAATTCATTACCTACTGCTATCAAAAATGGTCCATTTAGGAAAGAGATTGGTTGGAGGGAAGACAAGTGTATTGTTTGGTAAACCTCCTCAGAACACCTTGTCAATAGTGATGTCGCGAACCGTCTGCGAACTTGCCGCGAACGGTTTGCCGCGGTTCACGGCGAACTCCGGTCAGCTGACACATCCCTGCCAATCTCCGGCAGACCCTCCCTCCCAGACCCTCCCACCTTCTGGACAGCATCCATGTTGAAGCTGCCTTCAACATGGATGCTGTCCAGGAAGTAGGAGGGTCTGGGAGGGAGGGTCTGCCGGAGATTGGCAGGGATGTGTCAGCTGACCGGAGTTCGCGCGAACCGTTCGCAGACGGTTCGCGACATCACTACTTGTCAATCGTTCCTTCTACTTATAGATAGTAAGATATTTCTACTACACCTGCCTCCTTATACCCGTAGATATCTAGATACTTCTACCATTCCAACTGTCTGTGACTTCCTTCTACCTGTAGCTTGCTAGTTATTTATACTATTTCAACTGCCTGTACAAGAAAGAGTGTATAGCAGCTAACTATAAAATGATACATAAGATGTTTGGTGCGGACAGATAATATCCTCCTAGCTTTTGTCAAATTGTATCAACATTGGTTTGTCTGTTAAATATGTATACAATTCTTACATTAGTTTAAACGTTCTTCTTTTTATTTAATTTTGCAAGGTGATGTGCACGTTAGTGTTTAGTGGGAAATGGTTGAAGAATTTAAACCAATCAGTGCTCTCCCATACAAATATATGAGAGCAACCTTGAGTGGGTGTGCGTAAATTCATGTGCCTCTTCATTACAGTATTTTCCTATGGAAATCTCTTGGCATGCAAAGTACTATTGCAAACAGTTTTTATTGAATATCATGGTATCTGCAGGTAGCTTATTTGGCCTGTTTCTTGAAGTTAAATTATAAACTAAATTCTGCAAGTTCTATCTGCTCAACTGGGTTGATTTATCAAAGTGCAGACAGATTTTTTTGTAAAGTCTTTTTGGCACAGATTATTTAATCTGTCAGTTTTTTGTTTTTGTTTCATCCATTGTTGTTTGTGCCTTAAAGGAATTCTATAGTGCAAGGAATAAAAAGTTGTATTCTTTACACTATAGTTCCCTCTGCACCACTCTCTTCCTCACGTTCCTCCTGATATGGAAAGGGATAAAAAATATTTTATTTATCCAGCCGATTCCAGCACTGATCTCCTCTGTGCCCGGTCGGCACTCCACCTCCACCTACGTCCCCCGACATGGGGTGGGGTCTAAAGCACATGCACTGTGAGCCTTATATGCCCTCACCATAGGAAAGCTTCAGTGTTTTCTTATGGGGATTTTACTGTCACTGGATGTCCTCATGCAGAACGTGAGGATGTCCAGCGTCAGTTAGGTGACCACAAGTTGGTGAGCCATCAAAAAGTGTCGCTGGGGGCTGTCTGATTGACAGCCACTAGAGGCAGTCTTAGTTCTGCAATGTGATCATTGCAGTTTGTAAGGACTAAGGGGCACAGGAACACTGCAATCAGACCACTTCAATGAGCTGCAATGGTCTGGGTGCCTATAGTGGTCCTTTAACTGTATTTTCTAAAGGTGTTCCACTTTTTTGGCGATCTTTTCTTCACTTTATCCACCATACAGGTATTCTTTTTCACTTCATAATTTTTCCGCCATGGTAAATTTGGCGGTCTGAAATTAATATTTCTGCAAAGAAATGTCAGAATTTAGGTAGATAAAGGCCAATACTTGTTTACACCATTCGTGGAACAATTTAGTAATTATTAACAGATAAGAGGTGAAAAAATAAGTCAGTTTATAAAACACTTTGATAACTCTCTACCAATGTATTTTTTTTGCATATTAAGGAAGGTACTATATCTTCCCATACTCTCCAATATGACGTTATTGGAGGCTGTTTTGGTTCTTTGGGTATCCCTTAAAATTAATATTCCTTCGCAATAAATATGAAGTGCAATTTTAAAGGAACTCTCCAAAGTAAAAAAACAAAAAACTACATTCAGCAAGCTGAAGTGCTTCAGGGGTCTGGAGTGCCACTTTAAGGTGCACTAAATGAATTCTGATTGTTTTTAAAGCATTATGCCATTAATATAACTCTGTTTATTTCACTGCATAGACAAATGCTCTACCAATGTTTTTTTTTTCCTGCCAGGTGTGATAGGGGACCTCCAGTACTCCATCATAGTCTGCCAGTCTATTGTACTATTGTTTGCATACCCACGAGAAGCTTTCCAGAGCCAATGCTGGATTTCATGTAACCCCTCATGAAATATTATAAAATAATACCTAGAAAACTGGAATGGAGTAACAGCTTGTTAAGTTAATGCATTTCTACTGAATGAGTGTGACTTTCCAGACTGAATTTATCAGAGAATATTGAAGGTATACTTAATGATGTTTAAGTAAAAAGAAAAAAAGAAAGAAAATGTGCTAACTAATTGTAACAAAATTATCCAATGCGGTATAATTGCCTGATGCCCACAACTTTTTGGTTATATTAACTGGGCAAAATGGCTTCCATGAGGTCATGGCTACAATCCTTAAATATATCTTTCCCCTTACACCCATATTTTCTCCTAGCAACTATTAGTGTTTACAAAAGATTCCGTTTAATTTTAAAACCAGACGTTAGTAGTATAGGGTTTTCTTTTAAGAAGCAAAGCTCTAAAATTGGAACCACCATTTAAAATAATTGAATGTGGTGACAGTGTACTCCACTTTACAGGTACATTCCAGTCCTAATGATCCCTCTGTGTTTTCTGTTTCTGTCTTTCCTTGTTTTTTTCCCCTCTATTTGTTTAAATGGAATGTTTTTAATTATTCTTTAAATGACCTAATTTTAGTTTATTTCCTTTATACTAGCTGCTCCTAGGCCACTAGTCTCGTCACCTTCATTGAAATTCTCAACTAGTTTTCCTTTTTGGAAGATAACTGAGGTCCAAACAGCTTGAAGAAATAATTCTCATAGAGAATCACTATGTTGGCACTGTTTGTTACCGTTCCCCACATTTTCATGTCTTACTCATTCTTTGCGTTCTCTTTTTGGAACCCTCCCTGATGGGGCAAACCACCTACTAATCTTTTGTTCTTATGCCAAGCTTACGTCTAATTTATACGCTATCATGTACAAAAAAGGGACTTTTAAAGACTCAGATCACTACAATCTGAAATAATAATCGCAACTTGAATAGATAGGCAAACTTATGAAATGGCGACAGATCTGGAGTTTGACTTAAAATCTGTTCTAACTCCTATTTACAATTATGACGGTCAATTCATTTCATTATTATAACTAAAACGGTTGAAAATGCTGACTACAAAAGTGCAAAAAAACAAAGAATGGAGTGCACTATAAAATATTATTGGGGCACACGTGGAATTCCGGGGAACACATCGATTAAGCATAGTGCTTGAAGAAGGCCATACAATATATAAGAGCTAAACAGAATTATTGTGCACGGACTATTGACCCTCCTGCACAGCTCTCATACAGTCATTGAAAGACAGTGGCACACTGAAATTACAGATAGATCTAGGTCAACTAGACTCTACTCAGTAACTAGAATAGAGGGAAAATAAAATAATTCAAATCTCCAAAGTAAGAGAAACAGACAGTTACTGCCAGGCATACAGACAAACATACGTGAAATAAAATGTATCACCCTCTTCTCTTCGTCCACTTTGCAGGCTACTTGGCCTATAGCAATTTACCATTTTTTTCCAGTTTTCTAAGCTGTGTACGTGCAAAGAAAGTGAGGCCAATCAGGAAAAGGTTTCGTAAAAATAAATAAAAATGGAGGAATGCACAGGATAGTTGACAGGTCTCTATAAACAATGCACTATAATAACTCTCTAAAAGTAACACACACAGGGTACTTTTTGTCTTTAGCACCATGACTATATGGTGGCAATAAATGCACTCATGCTGGGTTGTCATTTGTTGTTTTCTATAACGTGCTCAGAAATGAAGAAAAGAGGAGCAGATTCTAAAAGAGGAGGAGAAGAGGAAACAATAGGAGAAAGGTGAGCCACTTTAAAAATCAAATCAGGGCTGGAACGTAGAGCGTGTTTCTAACTTTAGAGGTTTGTAGTAAAAAAATTAAATAATTAATCATGGATTAATGTACCTGCCATTCTGTGACATAAAATGTTCCAGGATCTTTACCCACTCACTAAAAAGCAAAGGATTATGGGAAATGGAATATGGAGTTCAGCAGTCAGGCGACAGTTAGGTGATATTATATGGAACCTACAATATTAGTAGAATCCTGTGGTATACATGTAGTATACATTTTCTGTCCTTATCCTAACTACAGACGGAAATCTACTATCTGATGATCCTGCTCAATAGTAACAAATATATTTAACAAAATAAATTATTCACAGCTACACATAATTACAATGCACCAAAAGAATGCAGAGACATACAAACCCTCTCCCCACCCCCGCCACATATAAAATATTATGCAGAGAAGGTATATACCCAGCTATTGCTCTTATTAGTGCTGCAAAAAGGAAAAAATAGAAAATCAACAAAAATGTAATTATTATATGAACTCATATATGCATTTTAAAAACCTGTTCTCTTTATATTATTTTTGTTATTTGGGGAAGATTCAGACTGAATGGTTTCCTGTACAGTTCTGCAGGTTCTCTTTATACAATTGAAACTCCATTGTTCATTCACGTTATAAACAGACACACGCACACGCGCGCACACACATACGATGCACACAAACACACAGTGGTCGCTGTATTGTGTACACCTATATCTAGTATATGAAAACTTTTTTTCTTCTAGAGCAACATGATTTACACTTGTTATGCTGAAAACAGTCCTTTTAGTCTTTGATCCGTGCTGGCTCGTCAGCATTACACTACTGGCAGATGTTTTGGCCACTCATACTACCAACCTCCTGTTCCACAGACTTCCACACATGCTCTGTGAGATTGTGATCTGAGGAGTGTGAAGGTCTTTGGGGTAAACTGAAGTCACGGTCATGTTGAAATGATGCTTGCTATTTGGCATGGGGCAATACTCCACTGCAAGCATTGATTTGTAAATGGGTAAACTGTGACCTCTCTCTCTATCCATCTGATCCTGTCTTTCCTCACTCATATTTTTACTTGCATCTGATCTGCGTTTTCTGCTTTACAGCTGTCCCTCAAAGCGTAAAGCTATTTTGTTTGTTTGGTCACAGGCAAAACACCTGACAATCGTTCTTCTCATTTGGTTCTGTCATTTTATGATAATTTAGCTGGAGCAAGAAGCACACAGAACTTAAGAAATAAACAAGTTCCTGAAGCTGTGGTCCTGGTCCAAAGAATTAGTACCCTACCTCCTCTGTATTGAGAAGGGCCCTAACTTCTTTGTTACATGCTGTTTGATTTATTAATTTTTTATACTTATTGTAATGCAGTGTGGAATTTGTTGGCACTATATGAATATAATAATAGTAATAATAATAAAGAGTTGCACAAGACCAACCAGTTGAATTGTCATTCAAATGTAGTTTAAATGGTACAAAGGGGCCTAGAAGGCTAAGACACATTGTTACACGCTATAGAATGTGGCAAATGTGTCAATCATTTGTCCTTCGTCACAATCTATTTTTCTTTCTTATCAATCCCAGCCTGTACGGCTGACACATGGAAGGTTGATGTGTTAAGTTTACTCCAATTGCTGAAACTACAAACTGCATGTTGCAGCACAAAACGAGCAAGGCAACATTTTTCTAATCTTCACTCATGCAATTTTGGTAGTAACATCCCGCTATAGTGTCATCTTTATGTTGTTTTCAGTAGAACTGTGGTCTTCTGTTATAGTCCATCCACTTCAATATTTGAAGTATTCTATGTTTTACGATGACTATTGCACCATTTACTGAAGTCATCTGTTTCTGAAATGATGCAACCTTAACACATGCCACCAACAATCCTATCCTGATCAAAGTCACTTAGATCTTCTCCAGTCTAACGTTTGGGCGAACCACAACTAAAGCTCCTCGTGCTTTATGTTTTGAGTTGCCTTCACGTATACCCTATTTGGTCATTTTTGTTAATATTCAGGTGTACACAATACAGTAGCCACTGAGTATTTCTATAAATACAATTATTCATAGAAACACATTTAGAAAAGAGTGGACAGTAGTGAGGATCTAGTGGGCACATCCGGTCTCGGATGAGGTAAATCAGAAGCTTCTCTCTGGTTTATGTAACAAGTTCTAAAACTCAACTCAGACATAATATCGCTCACCTCAGAAAATATATTTTATGTGTTACAATACTGACTTTGTTTAACATTGCATCACATAATGGTCTGCATTACAGGCTTTCTAATAAAGCATTAACAAAATACCAGCCCTTACTTTGGCAGTTCTTCATGAGATTGTAGATATATAAGCGTATGAGCATATATGAAAGCATACATGAAAGGGCATTACTTAAATACTTTCCATAGAAACATTAATCAGCAATGGAACGCAATGGTACACTAGCAGTAGAAAATCTACACAATGCGGAAGTCTTCTAGATATAATGTCCAAGGAGAAATTCTAGATTATGTATTATTTAATTTAGAACCATTTCAGTACCCCAATACAATAAACCCATACGTACAAAGAAACTGCTTTAAAGCATTATCAGATTTGATAAAAAAAAAATAAAAAAAAATAAACTATATATATTGTGATTCCTACGTATGTGCTGTGTCTATGTCTTGCAGCTGGGACATATGGCTGTGGCAGAAATTAAGCTTGTAACCTAATGGAGCCGTAGATTACATTTTTTGGGGGGGATAGTTTTGATCCCTCAAACGCCACTAAAGCTGAACCCCTAATTATGAGTGACCGGACCCACACTATAATGCTGACTTAATGGCTGTGTAAGATTAATTGGAGTTAAAATGAGCTAAAATGCCTTGGTAAAATTACAGAACATCACGTACGAGCGGATAAGCAATGTACACAAGTTTTAACAAACATATGAACTGTTGCCCTATTAGTAGATTTCTTATTTTGTGTCCTTTTTATGCCCACTTTACAGTAGTTATAGTAGTTATTTTTTGTTTAATGAATTGGAGAATGTACAACAATCCAACCAACACACATTTCTTGCTGTTTTATGTGCGTAGAATTTATTCTAGATATTTAATTGTCACTTTGAGAGTCTACGTAAATAGCTATATTAGACAGTGAGTGACAATCAGATCACCATTAACAAACCAAAATCTTTTTTTTTTTTTTACTTTCCCTGCAAAGAAAATCAGCAGGGAGATTACTGGTAAAATTAAATGGCAACTGTCATCAAATATTTACTTCTCGTTTTTTTAAAGTTTAATACATTTAATGAATTTGTTTTGTTTTGTTTTTTAAAGAAAATTTAACTTTTTGATCTTAGCCTAAGTTGCCTGTTGCTACATTTTCAAAGAGAAATCGCAAGTTAGGTTGAACACAAGTTGGTCAGATAACAACTGAATCAGACCCAACATGACTGCTTAGCCAGATAAAATAGCTTGAATATACATAATAAAAAAAAACAAAAAACATTGTTTTATTAAATCTAACAAACTTGAGAAAACAAGAAATGAAGAATTGGTGACAGTAGACATTTAAGTCATATCACGCTATGCAGATAATGAAATCCTGAGCTAATGTTACTGAAACAAAGTTACTTTATTGGGTATGGACAGTGCAATAGCTGCCCTTCTCGACTTGTTAACCTGTAACTTACATCAGCCAGCTTAGTATGTCTCTAAGGCTGGTTGGCGGTGACAAAAATGTCGACCCAACAGCTGTATTGTGATCTTCCCGGACAAGTATTAGGCACTAAATCTTAAAGTGCAATGTTCGTCTTCCACAAACCAAACCAAACTTTCTCTGTATAGTTAGGACTTTTTGGCTAATGCATGTGCATACATAAATGTGCATATCTGAACGAGGATCTTAGCATATTCCACTCTAACAAAACAGCATTTACATTATATTGGATCCCAATTCAATTGTATCTTTCAAAGCATCACACAAGTGGCCAACGCAAACCATTCACACGCAGCAAGATATGAACTTGCAAATTTTATCAAATTCTTTTTGTACAGTGGTATCTGCCTTTATACAATATTTACAATTTTTCTCCATCGTGATAAAAAAAAAAAATACAATATAAGATAACATAAACAATGAGAATGCATGAGGGGACTTTCTTATCTCCTGCAACCAGATGCTTCTCTCCCTGATGTGTAGAGTTTATTATCCAAGATTATTTTTCTTCCTTTTGCTTGGGCTTTGGTTAGGATCCGGTTTCAGTTCCCGATACTGCACCTGTTTAAACACAGAAGTTTAGCAACAAATGGTCAAGAGGGACACACTCTGAAGACGTCAGAGAACATGGAGAGAATGCAGAATTTTTATTTTATTTTTTCTAGGGAAAAAAAATAAAAGCAAAAGAAAAAGTAAATGCCAAAACAAATTATCGGAGAACAAAAAAGGGAATAAGGAATCAGTAAATGGAATGATAAGCATTCCAATGTAGCCTTCTCGTTACAAGGTATCACACACATGATTCCGCTCCAGTATAGATATGATTTTATCATCCTTTGTATATGTTTATGGCTGTTGTTATACACAAAGCAAAACAAAACAACATTTTACTCATTCATCCACACACACACACACATTCCCCCACACACATTTCCTTTCCAGTAGCTTATTCACACGTATGCCTCTTCCTCTCCACTGGCGACCTTCCCACCTTTTTCTCTACTGGACACGAGCTGATATGGCTCAAAACACATTGGCTGCATCTATTCACCCAAGGTGATCACGAGGCATACGTACATAATCATGGTGCAGTTGACTTGTTTTAGGCAGATTACTGTGCACACACACAATGCCCAATATTGTACAAATTAGTATTATTATTTACATTTAAATAGCATGAACACATTCCACAGGACTTTACAATATTATTATGGGGACTTTAACAACAAATGAGACAAATTATTACAGATTTTGACAGGAACAATATGCTGATGAGGACCCTGCTCGAACAAGCTTACAATGTAGATGGTGCTTGGTTTTAGATGGGTAACTATATACACGGGCCTTCTGGTGAGGATGGAAATATATTTTCAAAGGATCCCATGCTGATTCAGTCCTACTAAACTTAATGAGGCATGTTTTCCTTGGGCTAAAATAATACCCACAAGCGCAAGGTGGAGGTTGGGGATGGAGTGTGTGTCCAGACTCTTTGAACCCCAGGAATGAACCGTGTGTGAAAGTGGATGTCTTCCCTACACTGCAGTATAGTAGACCTTGCAAACTCCAACAGAAAATGTTTGCCACCACATTTACTGTGAATATCAGTGGACAGAAGAAGTTTTAATTAACAGTGGTATGTCTTAAAAGCAGGGGAGAAGACAACAGAGAACTTCACGCTTTTTGTGTGAATTCATATAAGTGGCTGAACAAGTCCGCTGTAGGTAAAGAGAATGTCAAGGCTCCCTTATCAAGCTGGGAGTAATGTCCTGCACATATAATATCCAATATGGTGTCAACAGCTCTCATCACAGAAATGTGGGCCCCCTTCCTCAGCCCAGCACATATTCCCCTGTCTGGGGATGTTGTGGCAGTATACTAAAGGCAATACATGCTGACTGGAGAACTAGTTTTGGATCTTGTTCAGAATTAGCCACTAAATGACTCAAAATATTACTCTGTCATGTAACTTACAGAGCTTGCAGTACTTACAGGTGGGAGAATTACGCCCATGGGTAATGCACAGCAACATACAACTCAGAGTATGAATTCAAACACCAGGTACTCACCACTTGTACATCAGATGGAACTCTTGATAGAAAGTCAAGGACTTCATTGTTGTCGATCATGTAAGGACTTCGAATTTTCTTTGTAAATTTATTGATTCCTGGAATAAAAAAACATTTCAAACAATGAATATTTCTAGGAAACTATCAAAGTACATGCAATCACTCATTGTTACCTACTAGAGCAGAAAGGACCTAAAAATAAATCCACCTCCTGTAGAGCTGCAACTTCCCCAGTAATCTGACTGCAATATACTGTCTGGTTTTATATGCACTTGAAAACAGGGCCATCTTTAACGCAGGGCAAACGGGGCAGCTGTCCCAGGCCCAGTTACTCCTGGGGCCCCGCTACCCTCAACTGCTTATTCCCCCTCAGGGGCCCCTGGTGCAGCCTGGGGCCGTACACTAAGGAGGGCTACCGGGTGGCAAATGCACTATAGGCCACCCGGTGGGTGTTTGTAAGCAGGGGCCCGGTCACACTCTGGTCCTTTAATTGCACGGCCAGGCCTCTTGCTTTTTGGCAGCATGGGAGGAAGTGACTGTCATGAGTCACTTCCTCCATGAGAGAGCTACGTGGGAGAGACAATGGAGGCAGAGCCGATATTGCCAACAGAATCCCCCAACAGTCTCAGCCCCCATTTTGGACACCAGGAAAGCCACCCTTTAAGGTAGGAAACAGGAGGTGGACTTAAAAGTATAAATTTTGTGTGTGTGTGAATGTGTCAGTGTGTGTGTCAGTATGTCTGTCTGTGTGTTTGTCAGTATGTCTGTCTGTGTCTGTCAGTGTGTGTGTCAGTACGTCTGTGTGTGTGTGTCTGTCAGTATATGTGTGTTTGTCTGTATGTCTGTCAGTATATGTGTGTGTCTGTGTGTCAGTATGTTTGTCAGTGTATGTGTCTCTGTGTGTCAGTATGTCTGTCAGTGTATGTGTGTGTCTGTGCATCAGTATGTTTGTCAGTGTGTCTCTGTGTGTGTCAGTATGTCTGTCAGTGTGTCTGTGTGTGTCAGTATGTCTGTGTCAGTTTGTCTTTCAATATGTATGTCAGTATGTCTGTCAGTTTGTCTGTGTGTATGTCTGTGTGTCAGTATGTCTGTCAATGTGTGTGTCAGTATGTATTTATGTGTATGTGTCTGTGTGTCAGTATTCCTGTCAGGATATGTAGCTGTATGTATGTGTATGTCAGTATGTCTGTCAGTGTATGTCTGTGTCAGCATATCTGTCAGTGTGTGTGTGTATTTTTGTGTCTGTCAGAATATCTTTATCTGTGTCTGAATGTGTGTCAATATGTCTGTCAGTATATATGTGTGTGTGTGTATCAGTATGTCTGTCAGTGCGTGTGTCAGTATGTCTGTGTGTGTATGTGAAGATATCAGTATGTCTGTCAGTGAATATATGTGTGTCCGTATGTCTGTGTGTCTATGTGTCAGTATGTCTGTCAGTGTATATGTTTGTGTACGTAAGTATGTGAAAGGTGTGATTGCTTGCCAGGGAGGGGGGGAGGAGGCAGGGGGGCCCATGAAAATGCTTTGTCCAGGGTCCTATTAAAGGACCACTATAGTGCCAGGAAAACATACTCGTTTTCCTGGCACTATAGTGCCCTGAGGGTGCCCCCACCCTCAGGGACCCCCTCCCGCCCGGCTCTGGAAGGGGGAAAGGGTTAAAAACTTACCTTTTTCCAGCGCTGGGCGGGGAGCTCTCCTCCTCCGTTCCTCCTCCTGGGCTGAATGCGCACGCGCGGCAAGAGCTGCACGCGCATTCAGCCCGTCGCATAGGAAAGCATTTACAATGCTTTCCTATGGACGCTTGCGTGCTCTCACTGTAAAAATCACAGTGAGAAGCACGCAAGCGCCTCTAGTGGCTGTCAATGAGACAGCCACTAGAGGATTAGGGGGAAGGCTTAACCCATTCATAAACATAGCAGTTTCTCTGAAACTGCTATGTTTATTAAAAAATGGGTTAACCCTAGCTGGACCAGGCACCCAGACCACTTCATTAAGCTGAAGTGGTCTGGGTGCCTAGAGTGGTCCTTTAATATTATAGATGGCCCTGTTTGAAAGAGGGACACTCCAGTTATTTCAGGAGGTAATGAGATAAGTACTCTCTGCCATATTTCATTTTTCATTATCTAAAATACAGAGCAAGTAACAGATAACTGGATTTTGGGGAAGGAAGGGGTGCCTGAGAATTCTGTGCCTGCATTCCTCTAGGTGTCTCTCTCCCAAGCCCTGGTCTGTCTCTTTTGCCCCTTCCACAGCCCCTCTGTACAGTGTTAATTTTGGCGGCAAATTTCAATTTAGTTTTAGTCGTATTTTAGTCACCTGAATTGTTTTAGTTTTAGTCTAGTTTTAGTTGACTAAATTTTAAAAATTTGAACCGACTAAAATTTGACTACATTTGTCAGTCTACAAAATTAACCCTGGTATAAACTCCACAGAAGAACAGAGTGAAGAACATAGAACCCATTGGATATTTCACTCTCCAACGCTTTGTCCCTTAGTAAATTAACCCTTACAATGGATAAACTTGCTAAAGAATGTTTTGTATCACTTATTCTGGGGGCCATTCTATAATATCAGGTTCCCAGTTTTCTAGCTCCTGTGTTTCATTTGCTGATGAAAGGCTACACTATATAATGGAATTACAGTGTTGGTTTTAATATCCGCTCAGTCAAAATATATTTGTCAAATCACATCGTGGCAGACAGCAGAAAGCTTGGCCCCACGCCTGTACTTTGGCAGAAGCTCTGTCAGCTGGGAGATCTCAGAGCAGACCTTTGTATCAAATAAATTGGATCCTGACACTTGCTCCAATCTCTTTAGTGCTGGGGTGGCGTGTCACACATTATGTTAAAGTCACTACAGCATAAAACCATTAAAAAAGAAGTTGTTCTAGAGGGACGGAGAACTATGGGTTATTTATCGTAGAAAATATGTTTCCGAATGTTTATACCATTACAGTTTCATGATAATGCCGCGTGTGCAAGTGTATGTCTATTTATTAAATGTTTACAGCCAGTAGTTAAGAGAATACCACCTCATATAGTGCGACATAATGAGTTAATAAAATGCAGTAAAGGCTCCATGTTTGTTTATGTAGAATAACCGGGATGTTACAGCAGATTCCTCTCGATATCAAAGTGAATTTCTGAACTGTAACTCAAACAGTCACTGAAACAGAACTAACCTGGGGAATGTTTCCTTTAACTTAAAAATTGATACTCGTTTTAAATTTACTTTGAATACCTGACAAATCAGACCCTGTTTATGTTTAATTT